ATCATATGTGGAGTGTTTCCTTTGTCACTATTCTTGTTAAAAATTCACATGAATTCATCATTTTCATTCAAGTAGTTTGTGAAATTTACAATATTTATGGTATATGGGAAGTATTGCAATTGTAAGGGACTTATCAAATTCATTAATAATTGATAAGGTAAACACAATGGAAAATCATTGCTGTGACCGCATCTTTATATGATCAAGAGATTTGTCTTGATTTGCATAGGACTTCTTCGATTTTCTCTTACAAATGATATTTTTTTCCTGAAGTTTTTTTTTTTTTGAAATATGCTTTAGCTTATGTTGGAATTTGATAAGCAATATTGCAGCTCGCAGTTTTAAATGCCCATAAAGGTCTCCTGCTCATATTTTATATATTACATAAAATATTTAAGAGAGGAAAAACAAAGGAAAAAAAAAACACATCTTGATTAGCTGGAATGTTCCAATAGAATATAATTAAAATGCTTGACTCCATTTAATATTTGAATAATTGAATTGAATCTAAGGTCTATAATTACAAAGAACATAACCTAGTTTTATTAGTTCACATTAGTGAAGTAGTCAAAATATTATGTGCTCTGCACTTCTGAAAATACTTAAAATCAGTTTTGTTTTATGTTAAGGCCTTACACTTTATTGAAATATGATCTGAAAGATCATTAAGATTGTTGAGACTGTTTTTACTAGTAGGTATGTWTTTTTTAGTAGGTATGTTCTTAAATTTAATAATCAAGTAAAACCTCCTAAAAAATGAAAAATTTAAAGTATAATAAAGTACATTACACTTCAGTTTTAGCTTTTTTCTCTGAAATGACAATTCTTTTCTTGTATTTCTTCACTTCTTTCTTCTCTTTCTCAGTCCATTTGGTTTTCTCACTTTCATCCAGATTCTCCCATCTTCTATTGAGTTTCTTTTTCAATTTCTTTTCTGATATTTCAGGTTTATCACTTTCTATTTGTTTACGCTCTTCTTCAGCCCAAATGTCAAATGCTGTAAGTGGAGGTTCTACTTCAGGATGGTGATTTTTAAGATACTCAACCATTTTGTGATTGTATTCCTCCATGTCCTGATGCCATTGGTCACTATACTTTTGCTTCTTTTCATCAGACAAATTTCTCCATCTCTTACCCAGCTTTTTACTAATTTCTATTACTGTTAGATCAGGATGTTTTTCCAGTAGTTTGGCTTTCTTTGCTTGATAAAATAGCATGTATGAAGTAATGGGCTTCTTTGGTAGGTCAGGGTCTACTGGAGCTTTCCTCTTTCTGTTAACAGCTGGGGTTTCCATACTTTTCTTGTGGCTGTTTTTCATGTCTTGTAGTATTTCCATCGCTGTTCTTGTCTTTCTAACTCTGTTTGAGAGCAGCATGAACCTTGCTTTGGCTTCTTCTGTCGTACGCTCGCCACACAATGGCACCTTATCCCAATCGATGCTCTTCAAAAATACACATTTCTTCTTTGCTCCTTCACTAGCTTCCTTGCTTTCTAGATATTCACCAACCTTTTTATAAAGCATTTCTTCTTCTTCAAATGTCCATGGCTGTCGTTTAGACGATGCTGGACTTGTAGAATTGCTTACATCGCCGTTTGGAGTCAAATTCTCGCGCGCATTTTGTACCTTGTTTGTGGTCTCAGTTTCTGATGTGCTAACATCCTTTTGTTTTGATTTCTTCTTCTTTGGAGATTTCTTTGGAGTTTTAGATTCATTTTCCSCGAATGAATCTTGGCTGTTTTGGCTTTCTGATGTAAAAGATGTTATCTTCTTTTGAGTTTGTTTTGGACTTTCCGCCATTTTGCTTTCCTCGTGCTAACGTATCCCAGACCTCCGTTGGTCACAGAAAGACAGGGAGCCCAAGGATGCCTCAAAACAAATATAGAATCAGCGGTGTCATATAGAATAGACTGCTGAATAGACTAAGTTGGCTAAATCATGATATCTTTAATAATGACTATTGCTCAGATTCAGAAATATTTTGAGTTACATGTATAAAATACCTATGTTGTCCTAGAGGCAAACACTTCAGCAGTAAAACAGATTTCTATTTAAAAAAGGATTTAAAAAATTTGTCAGAAGGCTTTCTAAATTGAATTATAAAAAGCTGCGGTTATATTCCAAAATAGTTTTCTCTCTCTCTCTCTCTTATTGGTATTGGGTACCCTGTGTATTAAAAAAGCGAGGTTTCCGTTGTTGCTAGGCGACACCCAACAAAGCTGAAGTCAGTCATTTGTTTTGGTCGCACTAAAAATTACAGAAAGTTTTCCTACAAAATATCGGTATTTTCTACTCCAGAGATATCCTAACAATCTAGGTAAGAAAGAGCATCTTGTTTGAGGACCGTCCTTTCTTGTAATATCTAAAATCGAGTCTAAAATATGCCCACAGTACAGCATGAAACGATCTGTCCCGTCCTGGAAACTTCACATGAACACTCATTGATTTCTCTTTATATTTATAACCTTATATCGTGCATCTTTATTTCAATAGGGATCGAAAGTTTCCACAATGGTTTCTGTTCTTTCTAACGGGATAGAAAACTTGGTAAGCTTAAGTATGAGCCGATATAAAATATTTTGAAGTTTCTAGTTATCACTATGGAGCGGAGACCACCGCATGGCGTCTAGATACAATCGATGTGTTTTGAGATATAATTATCGTTAACTTTTCTGATAGTTTTACCCTGTTATTTATGATTGCAGAAGTGGTCAGGAAGTATTAAGTCAGTGGAGGACGAGGTTCGGCGATTAATTAATGCAAGAAATGTAAGATTGACTGAGTACTTCAAAGACTTTGACCGCTTGAGAACTGGATTCATATCAAGTAAGCTTTTGCAATAGAAATTGAAACATGAATTTACAATTGAACTTCTTTTCTCACAGTCTTTATGCCAACTTATTTCTTGCAATTTTTTTTTCTTTTTTTTTTCATTTTCTCATTGATAATCTAATAATAATTTAGTAATTATTATTTATTACCAATTAATGTTTATTAGGGAGAGATGGAGAGATGAGCATGCTTTAGAGTGGTTTTCATTAACCCGTGAAACACACGTTAGCATATTTATCGCTAATACACTTTGGCTCTTTTGTTTTTTATTGTCTCTACGCGACTATTACGATCTATTACACYCTAATTATTACACTTTGTTTCACGGGTTTATGAAAACCACTCTATAACCAAATTAATAGTACATAATATGTATAAAAYAATTGGTTATTAATGAAAGGTAATATTGTTTCAGAGAACCAGTTTGACCGATGTCTTGATCAGCTCTTTGGTGTTGTACTTAGTGCTGAAGAAGACTCTCTTTTGATGGAGAAGTATGGCTCAGATCCAAAACAAAAAGGGATGGTCAATTACAGGAAGTTTTGTGAAGTTATTGGTGCAGGTCAATATTATCATAATATTATAAAATATGATAATCGTATGAGGAAGTGGCTGATCCCATTAAAGAGTGCTCAATACACATAAAGTGTAGAGCTAGTTATATATATGATATCAAAGAGGCAAGATTTTGCTGTAACTCTGAGTATCTGATGAGTGCGTAGCACGAAACTCGGAGTTACAGCAAAATCTTGCCTCTTTGATATCATATAATATATAAAATAATGATAAAGTGATGATCTTCTTGAGTACAGACTACATAGCAATAATTGAATTTCCAATCTTGATTAACAAAGTGTAAAAAATATGTAACATGTAAACATTTCAGGAAGTAGTTTGTGCTTGAGATAAGAAAACAAGGCAGTGATTATTGTTCATTCTTCTTATTTTCATTATTAGTTTTTAATCCAAATGAATTGCAAGAAGATCCTGCTACGCAGAGTATTGGAGTTGATGCTAGGTAAGATGATTGACAGGTGTCACTATTWAAGTTGATGACAATTATGATTTCTGATGACAAAGACATTATTATTGATTGTCGCTGTTAGTGAATTGATATGATATGACCATGATGATGATACATGTCAATGATGATGATAGTAAAAATAACGTATGATATTGTACCCCCTGCAGTGCACCAACAGATAGAAGACCTCTCAGCCCTGCATCTCTGTCAAAGTGTGATGAACTGCTAAGGCGAATGGCTGTTCATTATAAGTACCATGGCATCAATATCAAAACTTGCTATGCAGACTTTGATAAACATCACATTGGTGTTGTCACGGAACCACAGGTCAGTCAATCAAGTCAGACTAGATACCARGGACTGATTGGCCTTACTGACTGTTGACTACGTGAAACAAAATTAATTTTTGCAGAAAGCTGAGTGCTTGTTCCCCATCAGCACAAAAATGATGAAGGACCCTGCATGGACTATCTTACTTTGATAATTTTACAAAGTGAAAAACAGAATTTCCTATTTATTATATTTTCATTTTGAAGCATAAAATTAGGCACTGACAAAAAGTGAAAAAGACAACTATGATAACCTCTATGCAGRTTTTTCCACACATGACATAATTATAGTTATTTATCATTGATTCTTTTGTTATCAGTTTTACCGCAGCTTTCCCGGGCCACCTGATATAACAGATGGTGAAGTTAAGCTACTTGGGAAGAAATATAGAGATCCTGCTCGCCCTGGTCTATGCAACTATTATAACTTTCACTTTGACATTGAGAATAAGCAAAGAGGTGGGTTTCATTATTGTCTGTAAATATGAGCTTTCTCRCTAAACCTTTTAACCTTYCCCCCTCCCAACTATTCTCACTTYGTCCCATTCAATTTCCYGCTCMTCTCTAATATTCTGGACATTGTCCTTTTCTTTCTCTATTCTCCCCTTTATGTTCCCCTCGTATGTACCTCTTCTTATCTATGGATTGTCTTTCTCCTGAAAGCTAATTCCCATGTTTCCCTGACTACTCTCATTTTGCTTTTCACTCACTCAATCCYATTATTCCTCTCACCCAGGAATCCTATCCTTGTTGTTCTCCCCTTCAGCCTTCATAAGAGATTTGTAATATTGAGTGTAATGCTTTGTTAAACAGATCTTCAAGACGAAGCTGATTTCACAAAATTTGCCCCCAATCAAGACAACAATAACTTGGGATCAAGGGTAAGAAACACTTCTTCTTTCATGTTCATTTAGTTCGTCCAATGAAATGTATTTTCCTACACAGGGCCCAGGAACGCCTACTTTGGATGATATATTCGAAAAAATACGAGTAGCAGTGTTTAAGAATGGTATAAGAACAACAGAGTTCTTCTGTGACCACGATAAGCTAAGAAGCGGGATTATYACAGAGAACCAGGTAAGTCACGTCACTCAGTGAATGTGTATCAAACATATACTGTAAGACACAACTAACTGAATTACGCATGCATTGTACACCCAACTGTGACAATTAACATCAAAATTATGTATATCTGACGTTTTGTTATTGGTCAGACGCTACAAACAGGAGCGCACCCCAGCCAATCACATCGCGCGCTTTCTTGAAATATATTATTTTAGTGAAGTACGTCTTCAAATTTCTCACGATAATACACAATGGTTTACCTGACTAATCTACAATAGCTGCATAGTGATTATACTTGTTTTTTTTCTCGTAGTTTATCTGTGGTCTTACTCTGTGTTGTGGGTCTCAAGCCAATCTGAGCCGCAATGAAATCCAAAAAGTGGTCGATGCTTTCAAGACTGATGATGGACGTGTTGTTTACAAGGAATTCTGTGACATGATGGAGAATAGTAAGACAAACAATGATTATCAATGATACTGCGATAGGGAATATTATTATGTTGATTATTAGTATGATTAGTATGTCGTCTTGAACCGGTAATGCTTATATGCTGATGATTTAAAGGATGATGACAACGATAACATAACGTAAGAGCATCACTCTAGACCCTTCATCAGAATGGAAATGTTTTTTAAAAAACATCAATCACAAGGTTAAAACAACAAGGTATATCCGGTACTAAATATATTGTTAATGTTTCTTTAGCTTTTACCTTACGAGACTTGGAGAAACARCCTACAGCTGATCCATACCGTCCCCCTGTTGGGGCTCTTGCAAAGGTATGTACATAATTCATTCTATATTCGTTTTTAGTGTAGAGATTGTGTATACGGATTTTCTTTTATATATGGTAAGGG